AGCAGCTCTGTTGAGAAGAATCGGTGAGAACAGAAGGGATGGTGTTTTAAGGTTGTTTCAGCCTCGGGCTTCGGAGAGCAGCTAGCCGAATGATGGCCTAATCTTTCACCGTGAGTGGATTTTCGTCCCATCAGTCTAATGATTATGGGAATTCGTGATTGGTGTAATTATATGTATTTACGATACATCGTTATTGTAAAATCTCACATGTAAGATTTTTTACAAGCCAAATTACAGAACGTGATAATTTTATCACATTATCGGTCATCACGCTACTATTATTTATAATAGATTTGCATGTTCCTGTATATGTGTACGTATATACTTATATTTGTGTCTCTCCTTCACGTGGAGACAAACGGCTCGACAGATTTGGATAAAATTTAGTACACAGATAAACTATGAATTGTATTAAAAATAGGCTCACCTTGAGACGTACCTGAGCGAAGGGAGCGAATGAAAGGAACGAGTGAATTTTTATGAATTTTGTAACGATATCATATAAATTTAATGATTAGTGATTTAATGAGTAGTTTACTGAAGTTGTTTATCTTCAAAACGTTAGCAGATATATAAGGAGCAAAAATGCGTAAAATGCTCCCGATGTCAAGCTACCCCCCAGAAATGGGGGGATGAAAAGCGTTGAAAAATAGGCTAGTATAGCTTGGGGACACCTCCGAGCGAAGCAAGGGTAAGTCGCTAGTGACTTATAAAACTATATTATAATTAACAGAAGTTTGATAATAATAATTTTGTGGTTAAATAATTATAATGGTTAGATTGGTTGGTTACAATTAGGGTAGCCATTTTTATTAGAAAAACAAGTCTTGTAAAGAATTTAATTGTTTATCTTTTACATAATATAAAAGTTAATAGTAATATTGACAAAACAACAAATAATGTTAATTGGTATATACAAATAATGTACATATATACATAATAAGACATTTTTTAATGTTTACCTACTATCAAGCTAAATTTTCTTGAGTAGCTTCGTTTAGATAAGACGACTAACTTTTTTCGTTATGAAAATTGAAAAAAAAAAACTTTTTCACTAATATATATATGTAGGAGCGAAGCATTTAAAATAAATAAATAACCTACGTGGACGAAGCCGTGGAGAAATGCTAGTAGGTAAAAACCATAAATGCGAAAGTGTTTTTGTTACTCTTTAACTCTGTAAATGAATGGGTTTAATTGGGTTTAAATTGTTCATTCGAAATAGAGACAGATACCCTATATCCTGGATAAATGAAATGCTTTAGTGATGGACGCTGTGCCGCAAACAAGAATTAATATGGCTTACAGTTGGTAACCTATTATATATATATATATATATATATATATATATATATATATATATATATATATATATATATATATATATATATATATATATATATATATAACTTATAATTCATTACGTTTCTTTGTACTTATAATAAATTAAACCTTCCAGTAGTTGTTCGATTGTTATAATGATATTCATGGGAAAAAATACAAAATGAAACACATGTTCCTAATGAGAATAACGAGTTCACGTGGTAATGATGACATTTTTTTATTGACCGACTTCAAAAAATGGTAGTTATAGGTATTCGATTTTATATATGTTTGTATGTTTATAACATTACTAGCGACTCACTGTCGCTTCGCCTCTGGTTCGTCCCTAGACAAAAACTATCCCACGGGAATCGTACACTTTTCCGGAATAAACGTAACCTATGTACTATTCCAGACTATAATCTATCGCTATGCCAAATTTCATCCACATCCGTTCAGCCGTTCTGGCGTGAAAGAGTACAAACATCCATCCTCACAAACCTTCACATTTATGATATTAGTTTGAATTAGTATGGATATGGTCGATAATTATGAACCGATTTTAATATTTACAATGAATAGGCCTCATATATTTTAAGTAACAATAAATTTTGAAGTCACCTTTAGTTAAAAATATTTATTATTTAAATTAGTGAGCATTTAAATTTCTTGTAGAAAGTCGAGATTCCAATGAAAGCTGTGTTTATTTATTTATTTGACATTTGGCGTGCTTCCAAGCAATTTGGCATTTAGAATATGTTATTGATTTTCCACTATTCAGAGGATTTTTGCTAAATAAATTGAGAGTCAATCAAAGTTTATATTTACAAAAGATATAGACAACTTATACTTGACTGTACTAACTACACCAAGATTGTTTGATATTATACACAATGAAAATTAAGAAATAAAGGTTTAGTGTATAAATAAAAAAAACTAGTACTTTAAAGAAATTTATTTGTAACCAAATATCGACACGTAAATAACTTAAAAAAAATGATTTGACTTACATCCTTTGAAATAACAAGCTTCTTCACATTTTAAACATTATTTAACTTAAATATTAACTAAACGCCCCAATTATTATTCTTTTACAAGATATTTTTCATAACTAAAAAGTGCTAACACTTAGAAACTTCATACTGTAGGTTTTATTTGAACATATTCTTATAGCGTTTATGTCCATTGTTTAGTATGCAATCGTGTGAATTTAAAAAAAATGTTGAAACTACTATAATATTGTTCTATTATAGAAATTCTCATCAGCTTTAGCAATGATAAACTTAATTTCGACAATTTTCACTTAGATAAATATCTTATGTCATCACATATCTTTAATTTATTCAAAAGAACACAAAAAAGTAAGGTCTTAATTTTCAATCATCAGTGACACATTATACGTATGTTGCAGGCATATTGTATGATTTATGATTACATATTTTGGGAAAACGTATTAAATCCAAAAGTGTTTTATAATTTGTCTTAGGAATTTTACAAACAGACGGCGTTGTTTATAAAAAGACGGACCATACGATATGCTTGCGACATGTAAACTAAAATATAGCCCTTTTGACTATAAAAGTTAAACAAATCAACTATTCTATTCAAACATTTGTAATTTTTAACTTATTTCTATTGTATTTTACCTAAGAATAGTTTTGTTTATTGAGCATCAGCCTTTAATACACATATTTTCATTTACATAGTAAGGAGTACTTGTTTAATGTTTAAGTTACATTACTTTTATATAAAACGACCCAGGATTTGTCTGTAAAATTTTCGTATTTTTTTTAATAAACTATTTAATTATTAAAGTTATCATAATTATAAAAAAATCTAAATCAGACAGTAAGTAATATGACTTAAACATTTACAAAGGCCTTAAGAAGTAGACAATAGTGTAGTATTGTTTGCTTGTTTCTTTCGTCTAAATTAAAAAAAAATGGAAATGGTTTGAAATAGTTGGTGCTGTAAAGATAAAATTCCCTTGTGTGTTGACACACTTACAAAAATATTTTGCTTTTTGCAGATGCAATAAATATAGTTAAAACACATAATTTGGACGTTTAAAAAAACAGTGTTAATAATCTTGCGAGTTAAACTTAGTTTACGTACTTAATAATATTAAAAACACCCAAATATAACTAGCTTAAAATAATTAAATTCAATAGAAGACCGTGAACAAAAACGAACGAAATTATTCACAAAGTCCTTCTGGAAAGAGACAACTACTAATAGACTTATCGCTGTCTCGCTCACACACTTGACTTGATAAATAAATGCAGCAACTTGTTACTGATAAAGATTACCCAAGGGCAAATAAATCTATACATTAATTTTTTTCTTCCTTACTTATAATAACAACTTTATTAGATTTTTAAAAGTTTTATATTTGAATGACGCAATATCAATTAATTATGTAAAACTCAACTTATTTTTTTATTATGACAATATTAGTTAACGAGGCAAGGAGGAATCAATATAACATTTTTTAGCATTAAATAAAATGGCAATACCGAAGGATAATCTATTTATCATTAATAGCTGTTTTGAGCTTGAGCATAATATACATAATTTTATAATCTTCATATAAAAGTTATTATAACCCGACAGAAAATAAAAAGAAAATATTGTAAGTTAAATCAAACATGCTTGAAAAAAAAGATTTGTTTATTATGTTCTCAACATAATGAAAGCGCGCTCTTAAGTTTGGCTATTCAGGTAGACTGGCATAGTAGTAAGATTGCGAACTACCTAATTTTTTCAGTCATAGTTACTCGAAATAAATTCATTTATTCTTATTATTTTAACGTTATATAATTTGTCGTTATTCTGAGCTTATTATACTGTTTACTGACAGTATAAGAAACCTTCGGTTAATTTTTTGTGTTATGGCTTTCAGGCGTGCTAATTCAATATCTATTGACTGATAGAAACGAAATATTCTTCAATGATTGTGAGATTAAATAACATATCTATAGTGTAAAGAGCAAGTCATTTTAATATCAAGACCTACAACAGATTAATCAAGACCATAGTCATTTATTGTCATTACATTATTACTTAATATGTTAACTATGCCTTAAGTTAACTATGAGTATATCTAAATTTTGTCTAGGTCATCTAAATGATATTCCCCTTGCCTCTCTGTCTCTCTATGAACGATCAAGATCATAAAAAGTTACAATATATCCAAATAGTTTCTACGCACAGAATCATTCAAAAATATTAAAAAAACGTTTAGAGTTCTAGCATCTGCGTTGTTTTTTTTGTATGTATATTTATTTTAAAAATATTTTTTTTTAAATTTAAATTTCTAGACAATTCTAGACGTTTATATACTAATTCTTTATAAATATTTAAAACTAAAGTGAAATTAAAATCTGCAATCAAAAACACTATGGCGTCGATACACAAATAGAAGAACAAATAATCTGACGAAAAATTAAAAAAACCCCCAACGTTAGAAATCAAAGTGAAAAATAAATTAAAAGAAATTTCTTACACATCACTTTACTTATACAATACACTAAAAAACTCTAAATACCAACTACCATAAACCACCATGTCCTTAAATTTCCATATTAACATCGAATCAAAATTACTTAGGAACACTCATAATTACACCATGTTCATTTACCATATATGTGGTTTCGTCCTTAACAGTGAAATTATCAGTCGTTTCTTTCTAAGAGCTTTCTGACTAACCTCCAATCTTCCATGATGTCAGCATCCGGCAACATATACACTACGTACGGTGGAGATACCGACACTTGTCGACGTCGTCTCTTGCGGCCCCACTCCGCCCCACACGGCCATAAGTCTACAGTGTGCCGCTCTTCTTCTATTTTTCGTATTTTCTCTAGTATTTCTTCTTTAAGCTTTTCATACGCCAGCCATTTTTCGCTCTGTTGACAAAGAAAAGGTCGTTTAGTCGAAAAAAGGTCGATTAAACATATCTTAACTTAATACTTTCTTAGATTTACGCGAATATTTGACATTTTTCATAAAGCTATATTTTCGGATTTTTCGCGGATTTATTTGGATTTTTGGTTCCCGACGTTTATTTAAAATATCGTATAATATTGCGGAACAGGTTATATCATACAGTATAGTCCCTATCTGTTCCGCAAAAGTATATGATATTTTAGATAATCTGTACCTAAGTGCAGGTTGATCATGTTATGAAAATGTATAATATGATACACGCATAGACAACAATGGTAGTCCAAGGAAGTTTTCATTTAATTTGTACATATTAAGAGGTCACCGAGCTTTTTATCAACCGACTTCAAAAAGGAGGAGGTTCTCAATTCGACTGTATTTTTTTCTAATGTTTGTTATCTCAGAACTTCGTCATTTATTAACCGATTTGGACAATTTTTGTTTTGTTTGAAAGGGTATACTTCCAGATTGGTCCCATTTAAATTTAAAAAAAAATACCACCCCTAAGGGTGGAAAAATAGCTAATAATGAATTTAACCTACTTCTAATTGTCATATTGACTTGAAACTTTGCAAGTGTTTCTATTTCCGTTGATAGTACAGTGGTTCGGTATTGTTGACCTGATCTGATGGTAAGGCCAGAAGGTGGATAGGTGGAACTCTTCAACGACTAATAGTAGATACTTTGAGTTTGGGCTTATTTTGTTTGGTTTTACAAGCCTAACACTTTAGAATTCTAACTTTGCTACTACTGTCTACACTAAAAAGGGAAAAATAAAAACTTTTTAACAAAAAAATAAAAACCGACTTCAAACAAAAGCACTAAAAAGTAAAAAATAACTGATTGGTAGTTTTCATTTACTATACATACCTAATCAAATATTTTCGAAGTCGGTGTGCTTTGCTTTGTATGGGCTGGCACCGATTTCGAAAATATTTGATTAGGTATGTATTTAATAGGTAGGCTTTAATTACTTAGCCAAAGCACACCGACTTCGAAAATAGTTGATTAATATTACAATGTATTCGCAATAGGTATACTACCGAACTTTAAAAATACGAAGTAAATATGTGAATAACACGAGTACGCCATACAATTTTCAATTCCCCAGAGTAGACTGCACGGAATGAACAAAGAACATATTTTTATGCAACACTAACTTATATTTCAACAATAATGTAAATTAATCTGAGCTTATTTCTTTGTCATCTGCTCAAATTGAAATAGCTGTACCGATTTTGATGTAATTTAGGGCAAAGATCATAGTTAAATAAGAGTCATGGGTACTGGATACTTCAACTATTTTAACTTTTCTAGAGTAAACAAAAATGGTTAATTTAAACCTTACAAGGCTTGTGAACTAGAGGGAGGGAAGGGCCATAGAACTAGAGGGTGCTGTGTGTTAAAGTCCCAATAACATCTCTTAATAATTAAATAACCAAACCTAAAATTTATACATATAATAAAATTCTAACCAAGCCGAATCTGTACATTCAATATTTTTTTGGAAAAACTTATTGAAACAAACATTAATTTGGATACAGAAGCCAAATCTATATTTTTTAGTATTATTGTCTGTCTGCTGTTACCGCATCACAGAAAAACCACTGGAGGGATTTTGATTAAATTTGGTATGGTGATAGCTGGGTATCCGCGTCAAATATAGGATACTTTTTCGCGCAGGAAAATATCTCATATCTGAGAAAAAATACAAAAACTGCATTGTAAGAGTACACTAATATGTAAAACTTAAGAATTTGGTTTTTGGCCGTCTGAACGCGGGCGGAGCCGCGGGCAGCGCTAGTCAGCAATATAACACTATAAAATATAAAATAAGCAATATAATACCAACTATAACACTATCACACATTTATCTCTCAATATATACATATATAGCCTCCTGTTATTGTTGCCTACACTACACCCTAATAGAAACGTACATCTTTGGACCCTTTTATCTTTGTTACCTTTCCTCAGGTATAAATCACACAAAGACGGACAATACATATTTTTTGCATGTTTTTTGCTCGATACGGTATACATTAAATGGAGTATAACGAATTATTATAGATAGGGAGGATGGAACTGTTAAATTTAGTATTAATACAACACTTTGCCTAGGAAACTTTTAGGTTTGCAGCGTAATTTTTTAATATTAATTTTACTAAAACGCTAGAGGCTTAAAACAACACTAAAAGCTCTTTTGGGCGTAAAATTTCTAGACAGCTTCTTTCTATGTTTTTTTACAACTTAGTTTATTTTAATTTTTTTGTGGTCACATTAGGTAATATTAAAATTATATAGGCTAGTTTTGAAGTCTTTAAAACACGTGTTTGCTGACGCGCAAGCTTGCAGTTAGTAGCTACGGTTGGTTATTTAAAAAAACCTCGACTCACCCTCGCTCCGCTTGGGTTCGTCCCTAGTTATGTTTAACATTTAGTATAGGTTTCTCATAGATGAGATATTTTCCCGCAGTAAAAACTATCCTATATGTTGACCCGGATAACCAGCTAATATAAAACCACATCAAAATCGGTTCAGTGGTTTTCTCGTGATGCGTTCTTAGACAGAGCGACAAAAAATCTAAAAACTATAGGTTCGGCCTCTGTATCGATAATAATGACTATTTCATCTTTACTAACGTAATTAAAGATAGTTACCATATTTTCATGAAATTAAAGATTTATGCGAATGAATATACATACTAAGCTTTCGCCCGCAGCGTCGCCTTTGCTTTGGTATATACTATATATCTCTATCTATACTACATATATACATAAAAAGAAAATAATTATATGATTATTATTTTTTAAATAGTGCTAGAAAAGACTGTCCCGCTTTTGGCGGAATGGCTTGCAGCATCAAAAGTTTTGTTTTTGTTAATTTATTCATTGTTTGACTCAACTTATTTGTGTAAATAAGCACACTGATAACAAAAATATGAAAGTTCATGAGTATATGTGTTTATCATTTCTTTACGCTGTTATTATGGGGCGGATTTGAGTGAACTACGAAATGGCTTATATCCGGAACAAATAAAGACTTAGGGTGCCTTTTTATGGACATCTATAATGCGAGTAGCGCCGCGGGCGAATATATTCTTGTTAATACGTTTCTTATAATAAAAATAATTGTTTATCTTTGTTTGTTTCGTTTAAGTTAAAGATTATTAAGTTAATAGTAATTATTATTATAAGGCTTTCTTATAAAAAATATAAAAAGTATGAACCATTACTCTTCTCTCTTTCTGGTCTCAATATTTTTTGAATCTTTTAATAAATTACATACTTTTATTGAAATCGCTAAATTTGGAATATCATATCTAGCAACATTAGTTGCCATAGTTGTTTGATTTGTTTATTATACCGTACTCGTCTTTTTAGAGCTACTTAATTATTTATAAAAAAAAAATTGTTCTCCTTTTTTTTCTATATCACTCTGGAATATAATTTGGGAAAAAAGTTTAAATTACTGTTACCAATTATATTTTAAAGTATTTATTGCCTGTGTTCTAAAAACTGACCCAGTATTGAAAACTGTTAAAGCTATTGTCAGATAGACAGATTGAAAACTAAAAATAACTTTAGATTTAGTCTATACTAGCATTGCCCGCGGCTCCGCCCGCGTTCAGATTACCAAACACCAAATTCTTAGGTTTTACATATTTGTGTCTTCCATTGCAGTTTTTGCTTATTTACATTGCAGTTTTTGTATTTTTTCTACATGTACATATAATTAGACATGACCGGCGAGAGATGTACAGGAGCGATGGCTTTACGTGTGTCAAAAAGCCATTGAGTCTGTGTCTGATGCATTGTATTTATGCTATTCGATTATAATATTAAGGAAGCAGAGAGTGCATCGGTGTTTGCTCACACTAGCTCTACTATCTCTAGCGTAGTCAGCGCTATGAGAAACAACAAAGTAACTCGCCACATTGTTTTCAACTTCCTTAAATCAGAAATGTGATATTAACACGAATTTGACGACACGTTTGGCTCAGTTTGAAGTGACCCTAATAGCTGTGCCAGCAGTCGCAGGTTGGAGTCCCGCTGAGGGCATTCATTCGTGTAATGAGCACGAATGTTTGTACTCTAGTCATGGGCGTTTATATTTCTAATACCTATGTAATATGTATTTAAAGTTATATACGTGTAGTGTATCCACTGTCTGGTATCCATGATACAAGGCTCGAAGCTTACCATGGAACTAGGTGGTGGTGTGTGTTAATGTCCTAACATACTTATTTACGAGAGCCGACTCTTTGATCAGCGTTTGACATAGTCCTAAATACACTAAAACGAAGGCCTAAAAATATAAACAAAACAAAAAATGAATAATTACGAGTGTATTATGTATATGTATTTGTGTCATATATAAAATACTTATATATTATATTTTTTATAAATGAATAACATAATTTGATACGATATGATTATTTATTTATCTCCTAATGTTTTTTAATTCAATTATCAAATATTAAGTTATTCATAGTATAAATATTATATCTTTAAACGAGCAATTTTTGTATACATATATAATATGAATCTCGGAAACGGCTCCAACGATTTTCATGACATTTAGTATACAAGGTGTTTCGGGGGCGATAAATCGATCTGGATTAGTCTTATGTCTGGGAAAACGTGTGTTTCGAATTTTCATGCAGTTTTCTTTCGCATTATTGCGAGCAAAATATGATCGATTATAATTGCGCACGCTCGTGCAAAAGCATCATGGTCAAGCAGCCCACGCGCAAGATTGACAATCATAGGTCCGGGTTCGAATCGCGGTTGGATACAAAGGTATAATTTTTTTTATTGTTTTTTTTGTATTTATTCAAGTTTTTTTTAAAGAAAATTGTACTTTTAACCAAAAACTCCGTGCGAAGCTCGGTGGCCCAGGTACTAAAAATTAAACTTAAATGAATTAAAAATAACAGATATTAGAATAAAACAGTTAATTTATTTTGGTTTTATATTTGGTTAAATATATTGAATAACTAATGCAACTACACGTTGCACAAGATAAGATGAAGGCAAGCAAATAATAACAATGCCTTTGTACAGCTAGAACTAGTTTAAATACCAGTCTTATGACAGCAATTCCTTATACACGAGCTGCAAGTTGCTAGTGTGCCCTATGATTAATATTTCTTGTGAAAATTGATTTGAAAACCGTCTGGCAAAGTAGTAAACCATTAGGAGGTTGTAGATGGTCGATCGTATTACCATGGTAACAAGTGAAACACAATATATTCTATACCTAGAGCGATCTGTACTAGCAGCTATTAGCAACAGTGTGATATCCTACTTCGGGCTCATCCCTAGACAAAAACAAATCTATCCCACGGGAACCGTACATTTTTACGGAATAAAAAGTAATCTTTGTGCTATTCCTGACTATAATCTACCTCTGTGCTAAACATCCAGAACTGTCTAGCCGTTCTGACGTGATTGAGTAATAAACATCCATCCTTACAAACTTTCACATTTATAATATTAGTATGGATGGGAAGTAAGTACTTCATCCATATTTAATATTATAAATGTGAAAGTAACCCTGTCTGTTACCTTTTCTCGTTTAAATCGCTGAACAGATTTTGAGTAAATTTGGCAAGGATATAGATTACAACCTAGGGACGGAGATAGGCTACGAGTACTTTTGATCTCCACACTAAGAACAAGTGGCCTTTGTGCTCATCCATACACGTACACTCTCCGGTTATGGAAAAAATACCTTTTATATATCTATGCAAAAATATATGATGAAGATATATAAATAAACTAGCGACTTATCCTCGCTTCGCTCGGGTTCGTCCCTTGCCTGCTTCCCAATACAAACTTTCATCCCCATTTTTAACCCCTTAAGGGATGATTTCTGTGATAAAAAGTGTCTAATGTCCTTCCCAGGATCTCAAACTATCTTCTAACCAAATTTCATCTAAATCGGTTCAGTAGATCCAGAGATTACCTCCTACAACATCACAAACTCACAGACTCACAAACTTTACCTCTTTATAATATTAGTATAGATAAATATGTTGTGACATGAACACAGCACCATCTAGTTCCATGGTAAGCTACAAGGCTTGTGTTATGGATACCCGATAGTTGATACACATATATAACTTTTAAATACCTAGGTACATAATATAAATATAAACACCCATGACTGGAGTACAAACATTCGTGCTCATCACACATATGAATGCCTAGCCAAAATGCCCCCAGCAGGACTTAAACCGTGACCGTTGGCACAGCAAGTAGGTTCGCTACAACTGAGCCAAACGTGACCTCAATAAATCAGCTTTTCTGTTGCAGCGTGAAAGGACATTCGAAAAATTCATATTCGCATTATAAAATTTGCAACAAGTAAGGTTTGTCGCTACGAGTATCTGAGTGATGTTTTTAGGTAACTCGTAGAAAGAGAAATAAAGAGAAAGAGGAGAAGAAAAGAGGTACTCACCGTACATTATAAAATTATGATGTTTTAAGAACTTATAGAGATTCATATCAATATCAAACATGATAAAAATACAAGTATAAACAGACATGGTGTTCATTTACATTTTATAAGGAAAATCAATATTTAGGAGGCTAAAACAAACTGCAGGGAATAAATAATACATCCAATTTATATGCACGTTAATAAACCCAAGAATATATTATATAATAAAAATAGTTTAAAAATATTAAAATATTAAATAATACATTAAAAATATACCGGTTCATACATTAAAAAGCCTTAACATTAATATTTAAAAATGTATAATATAGCAAAAACATTTTATCTAACGCTTCTATTAATAAATATCATTAAGTTGAATTTTAACGAGGAAAACTAAATTTGTCTAAACGTACCGGTCTATCAACTTGAAATATTTTACGATCACTCGTTAGTAAGTTATAACGTAATTATTCAAATATTTTCCTAGATATGTATCCGCCACTTACCCTGTAAGAATACCCTGTTACATTCATAGCCTCATACTTATCTACACTAATATTATAAACAGGCAGTTTGGTTGTTTGTTTGTTTGAATGCGTTAATCTCAGGAACCACTAATCCGATTTGAAAAATTCTTTTTGCATTAGATAGCCCGTTTATTGAAGAAGGCTATAGGTTATATGTCATCATGCTAGTACCCAAGGAAGCAGAGCAGTAATCATAAATGTCAACAAATCGGGCAGACTTCCATACATTATTATTACTTATAGCATAAAGTCAAAGAGTTTTTTTTTGTAGTTTTAGCGCGAGCGAAGCCGCGGGTTGTGCTAATACTATATATAACGCTTTATCTTTATAAACCGATATATGGAACTAGAAAATGTTATGTTAAGCTTTCAATTCATTACATTTATATATCTTTAAACCCTTTCACATCAAAATACACACAAAAGTATAGTTTCCTATAAAAAAATATACATATAATGTAATTTCCAAGCACGCCTGTGTAGATACTGTATAGTTCTGCGCGCGCGTCGAAAGCCGGCGCGGCAGGCTTCCGGGAAACGCACGAGGTCGACTAACGGCCGTCTTGGGGATAATTCAATGTTGCGTGATGCACTGCTACTTGCCTCGCAACCGTTTACCTCTTTGTATGGCTCGAATAGGTTAATCGATTATAATATTTATATAATATAATTATAATCGATTAGTTAAA